GATTTCTCTCTTTCTGTCTCTGTGTCTCTCTCTGTCTGGCGAGCACATCCACCCTATAGTGAAAATCCCTCCAAAAGAAAATTATTTATTTAATTTTATTAATTCATTCATTTTAATTTGACCAGAGAGAGACACAGTGAGAGAAAGAGAGAGGGAAAGTGGAAAGCAAGCCACCAGGTCTGGGACTCCAACCATGGTCAGTCACATGGGAGTGTCCAGCATCTTAACCACCACGCTACCTGCTGGTTCCCACGGCATGTACTTTTTTTTTTTTTTTTTCAAAAAAAAGTTTATCATTTTTTTCAGTTTTTAAAAAGAATTATTTATTTAATTTTATTTATTATCATTATCTTGTCATTTGACCAGAGAAAGAGACAGGGAGTGAGAAAGTAAGCCGCCAGATCTGGGACTTGAAACGTGGTCAGTCATGTGGGAGTCCAACCCCTTAACCACCATGCCACTTGCTGGCTCCCTTATTTTTCAGTTTTGACCAGAGAGAGAGCAAGCCGTCAGGTCAGGGACTCGAACCATGGTCCGGGTATATGGGAGTCTAGTGCCTTTCTTTTTTAGGAGGATTTTGCTATAGGGCACATGCGCTCGCCAGAAAGACAGAGAGAGACAGAGAGACAGAAAGCGAGAAATCACCCCCCAGGGGGGATGGTCACGCCGCCATCCCTTCTCCTCCATTCTCTTCTCAGGATCTTGGGCATGCACGCACACACGCCCAGCGTGAGTTTAAGCTGCTGGGTCCGGGACGCGAACCGCGGTAGACTACGTGGGAGTCCAGCGACATAGCCCTTATGCTAACTGCTGCTCCCCATCCAGTGCCTTTAACCATCATGCCACCTGCCAACACCCTCCCCCCTTTTTTTAATGTTTTGAACACAGGACCTGGTTTCTGGTTCTAGAATAATGTGGACAGAGAAACAGGGAAGAGAAGTCAGATCACACAGGCACCTCCCTGGAGGTGAGAAGCCTGGGCCTCCTCGCCCCATGATAACTTTAGCAACAAGGTGGACAATAACCATGCTAAGGAACAGAAGAGCTAAACGGTGGATATTTCTGAGCTCCTGTGGGAGAACGTAGTCAAATAAAACTGTTCAAATCTAAGTTTTGCACTTTCTGTGTGACCTTGCGTAAGTTTTTAACCTCTCTAGGCTTCTTTTCTTCATCGGTAAAACATGGAGAATGGGAACCAGCAGTTGGCGTAATGGCTATGTCACTGGACTCCCATGTAGTCGACGGCAGTTCGAGTCCCAGACCTGGTGGCTTAAACTCACGCCATGCATGGGTGCGTGCGTCCCCAAGATCCCAAGAGGAGAATAGAAGAGAAGGGATTGAGGCCATCCCGCCTGGGGGTGATTTCTCACTCTCCGTCTCTCTGCCTCTCTGTTTCTGGTGAGTGCACACACCCTATAGCAAAAACCTCTCCAAAAACAAAACAAAACATGGAGAATGTACCTAATTGACAGGGTTGCTGAGAGGGTTAATTATTCTAGGGGCTTGGAGTAGTACCTGGCACATAGTAAAACCTCTATAAATATATTCTTCCATATATCACTGTTATTAAAACAGTCTTGTGGGCCAACCAGTGGCATGGTAATTAAGGCAGCTGGATCCCAGATGGCTAACCTTGCAGCTCAAGACCCAAACCTTGCAGCTTCAAAACACGCTGGATGCATGTGAGTGTGTACCCAAAATTCCAAGAGGAGGAGAAGGGATTGTGGCATGACCACATCCCACGGGGGATACTTTCTCACTTTCTCTTTCTGTATCTCTCTCAAGTAATTGCATATGCCCTCTGGCAAAATTGAAAAAAAAAAAAAAAGTCTTGTGTGTTTTTTGGGAATGATTTGGCAATGTTTGGTTCTCCCTCCTTACCATTCTCTTCTTACCAGTGCTCTCCACCTCCTGTGTTCCTGTTCCTCTCTGGCACTCCTTTTCTATCTTCATTGTAATAAACTTTTCTCTCTGTTTCAGGACATCAGTTGAAGGGTCACTGCCCACACTAGAAGTGACCATTCCTTGTTGTGATGCCTGGATCTATGGCAGCCACTCTAGGACCATGAGGAGCCCACCTGGGCACAAAACCTTCAGCAGAGGATGGTGGATAGTGGAACAGAGACAGAAGAAACCTGGGGTCGCAGGCCCTTACATAACTGTGTAAGATTCTCAGAGCTCTCCCCAGCTCTGGGACTGTGAATGTAACAATCATCTCATTGTTTTAGTCAGTGCCAATCAGGGTTTTGTTACTTGCAGGCAAAAGCTTCCCTAAGTGACATAAACACAAGTAGCTTAAGGCCGAGGGCTCAAAGCTGGTTTGTTTCCTCACTCCCCGCCAGGGCTGCTACACCCATCCTTGTGGCTATAGTTCCTTCATGTCTGTCTCCTGCCTTGACTCCCCCACCGAGCCCCAGCACTGGAGGTCCTGTGACCTCCTGAAACCTTGCTGTGGGTGCAGTGACACATTTTATATCCTCTAAACTAGCTTCAGCATCTCCCGTCTAAACCTGTTCTTCCTCCCAGGTCCTCATCTCAAGGGCAACTATTCCTCAGGCCTCTCCCTCAGCTTGTTGCCCTCACGTCTGCAAAGCCTCTGGCCTGTGCTTGCTCCTGGGCATCTCTCCCCTGCCCCTCTCCCCTCCCATGGCCCCCATGTTCCGGCCCCAGCCTTCCCCTAGACACCCAGCCTCAGCAGCCTCTCCCCCTCCGGTCTACTCTGACATAGCAAGTAGGGGGTTCTTCCACAGATGAGGAAACTGAACATGACGAGAGGGACGAGTCAAATGATCTCCCCTGAGGGCTGGCCCATAACCTAGTGGGTAAGGGAACCAGATCCCACATGACCAACTGTAGTTCGAATCTTGGCCCTGGTGGCCTGAAAAACCCACTGGGCACATGTGTGTGGTCCAAATCCCGAAAAGATAGAGAAATGGAGAAGGGATTATGGTATGACCGTGCCCCATGACCTGTGGCTTGCTTTCTCACTTTCCCCCCTTCTCTCTGCGCCCCTCTCTGGTCAAATTAAAATAAATGAATGAATAAATAAAAATTAAATTTTTTAAAAAGGTGTCATGGTTACAAGCAGCGTCTTCTATGCTGTTCAGATCTGGGCTGGGATCTTGTGTCATTTTCTGTCTGCCAGGGGGCTGAGAAAGATCCTACCTACCTAGGGCCACCCCAAAGCTCTCTGTCCTGGCCCCGCTCTCTGGAGACATCTGAGAAAAAGGAGGCAGGTACAACTTCTTCTCCTGACTACTCCATGTTTTAGGCCTTAGTTGTCTCTTCCTCCAGGAAGTCCTTCCTGACTTTCCAGACTAGCTAAGGCACATTCCCTGTGCTTTCTCCACCTCAATCCTGACCACTCTGGCTGTGCTCTCTCCATCATGCCCCCTGTCCCTCTGCCTCTCCATTTGAAGTCCTGTCCATTTGGGGCTATTGCTGCTGGGGACAGGTTTGTCACCTTACTGGACTTTGAGCCCTGTGAGAGCAGGGCCCAGAGCTTCCTCCACCGCTACTGTGTCTAGCACTGCCTGGCACAGGGCCAGCACAAAGGAGAGGTTTGGGGGTGAGGGGCTTTATTCTACTTCACTGCGGAGGCATCAAGGCTCAGGAAGGGATGGTTGCTTTTCCGATCAAGTACCTGAGATGAGGCCGGAGCTCAGAGCCTGGGAAAACCGGCAACTGAGAGGCTGGGTAGGAGGAACAGAAGGAAAAGTCAGAGCCCTAGGGAAGGAGGGAGAGCCAGAGGGCAGACTGCAGGAAATGAAGACGAAGAAGTGGGGAGAACAGGTGGTGTTGGCACCCGGTAGAGCCCAGAACATGGGACAGGAGCCCCAGCCCCTCAGCTCAAACATGGGACGGACAGTTGGCAGCGACACCTCACCATCCTCCGTGTGCTCTGGGACAACCTCGCACCGTCAGCTCCAGTCACGAGGCCCCTCTGCCCCGCCAGGTCCGTTCAGTGCAGCGCCCGCCCCAGCTACCTGGGGATGGAAGCGTAGTCCGGGTGCGAGCCGGAAGAGAGTTGTTGGTGCTGCTCTGTCTGGGGGCCCAGAATGTCCACCCGATCCTCCTCATCCTCGCCGAGGCTGGCAGGGCACGGCGCCGGCAGCAGGATGAGCTCGGTGAGGCCATGAAGGTCTGACGCGTGGCGGAAAGTCTGCAGCAGCAGCACCATGGCGGCCAGGCCCAGGAAGAGGTAGACTGCGGAGACCGTGGGGGGCCATGGGTCGGCCTGGGGCTCCGATCCCAGGGCGGGGCCAGGGTTCTCCAGGACCCCCTAGGGTGACGCTATGCCCTTTTAACTCCCCCTGGGACAGGACAGGGGTCCCCCCAGCTCACCTGTGACCAGCACCTTGTAGAGGGCCCGGTAGGGCTGGCCGGGCGCCTCTCCAGGCACGTAGTCCCCCAGGCCGATGGTGGACAGAGAGATGAAGCCGAAGTAGAAAGCGTCCAGGAAGCTCCACTTCTCCTCCAGGTGGGCGAAGACCGCCGCCGGCACCAGGAAGCAGACGATCAGTACGACCCCCAGCAGGGCCACCAAGTGCCAGCGGGCCGCCCGCCGCGGCTCACAGCCCCAGCGCATGCTCAGCCAAGACAGGGGCGCGTGGGTCAGCAGCAGCGACAGGCGCTGGGCCGAGGCGGTCAGCAGCAGCATGGTGGTGGGCACGCCCAGGAGCGCGAAGGCGATGGAGAAGGCCTTGCCCGCGTCGGTCAGCGGCGTC